GAAATGTTTGCGACAAATATCTTAAGTATGATATGGAAGCGAAGTGTGCAAAGGAGTGTGAGAGCCTTAGGGTGCTCAAACTCGATAAAACAATTCACAGCACATATACAACCAATGTATCGTGTAAGTACATCGAAAGGTTAAATGTGATATTGATCACTGTCGATGCGTTTGCAGTGAAAAAAATCTCTTGTTATCTTCATAAGCCAAAGGACTAGAGCGAGTAGGAGACCTAGCCAGCGAGTGAATAAGGCGATGAGAAAGGAAACTGGGTTAACCGAAGACGCTCTGCTTACCAATAGACTGCCAGTCAACAAAGGCGAATTAATTAAGAAAGCCACTACAATACGACCGAACGCGGACTCTTTCCCTTCTAAACAAATAGTCTATGACGAACCCGACTGAAGACGACTTCACCCGCTCTGAAAGATGCACACACCGAGCTTTACGAGCTTTTTATTACAGTGAGGAATACAGAATCTCATTGCTCGATTGCGTCGGCTTACGAATTTGGTTTTTATACGACATCTGTCGCCTATTTGTAGTCGGCTCTTGCCACACGCTATACTAATACTTGACAATTGCAGTCTCGTCTCCTCTCAGTGTCAGTGTCCTACGGTGTTGTTAAAAATAACCCGCGATGCGAGTCGAAAAGTAATGAAGCTTTGGTAGCTACCATTGAATACATTTGAACGCATTTATCTTCAGTGAGAAGACTGATTTTTATGTTGATGGCTTGCTTACCGACAAAATTATCGAATTTGCGGATTAGATAATCCATTAGTGATTGTTGAGAAAGCACAACGTGTCACTGTTCGAAAAGCGAGAGTAACGCTGACTGATGTGAACAGTGTCGACCGCAATGGTTTAACTTTTCGTAAAAGCGATCACTCCATCGCCAATGTTCCTTGCAAATCTCAGTCATTTTAAGAGTGATCTTGTTTTAAGTTTACTCAAAAATAAGGGAATTGAAATTAGTGCCTGCTATCCGTGTCCAGGTATCAATTATTTCGAAGCCGACAATTTGTGGGTGTAAAACGATCTTAGTAATTATAGAAGGATCACCAATTTCCCATTTCAAAAGTGCTGCTTGCCAGGTAACAACTGTTGAGCTGCTCATCCGCGATAGCCAAATTTTTCGTCCCTGAGCTAGTACCACACGGATCCGGATGACACGTGATTTTAACAAGATAGCACATGAGTTATTTCCTTTAGAAAAAAAAAAAAAAATTACAGAAAAAGTTTAAGTCTCTCTTAAAAGACTAGTGCACGTCGCTCCGTTCATCATGCCGTATACTACGGCTTTGAACCGGTGATACATTCACAAATGTTTTTTTTCCAAATTATCTAATTTTCACTCTGATCTAAAAGACTTTTTTTGCTTTTTTTTTGGAAGTTACTCGTCATTGGGGAGTTTGTCAGTTAAAGCATCCCTTCTAGAATTTCCATTTTTCCATCCAACACTGAAGCAAGTATTGTAACTTTGGCACTTTTACTTAAAATACAGAAAGTTATCCATTGTTGTATTACAATATGTGTATATTTACGATGTAATATCCGTTAATATGAGATTCGCTTTGGAAGTCCTACGAAGATTAAAGCTTGGCCCAAGATGTGCAGAAGGGGTTTGAAGATTACTTTAAGAAGAAGCGCCCGTAGCGATCACTTGAAATATTTTCTTTTCTCCTTATGAAAATTTTTAAAAATGCAACAAAAATTCATTTAACCTTTGACACCAAAGAGCTCACAAACATCTCAAAATCACTTAATTTATTTTTGCTTTCTTTGTTGAACGAAAGTTTCAATTTTCCATTTTGTGTGTGCAATGTACGTGTTTATGTAATATATATATACAAAAGAATTCACTGACTAACTCTGACATTTTCAGTAAATTTGAAATATTCTTAACTCATAAACTCATAGCATTTTTTCATTCCAAACAACATTTTATTCACTTCTCTCCATGTGCCCCCTCCTTTCGTCCTTTCTTGCTCTTAAAGACATTGCCACTGTATTCTGCAGAAAGCAAGTTAACAGCACTCGTAGCGTAATTTATAATTTCATTCATTCATATATACATATACATATATGTATGTTGTACATATGCTAACTTTTTAGAATACAGTTATAAAGTGCGAAATGCGAATCGCAAAATTAAATCAAAAAACATTCATTGTTTGAGTTTTTCTGAAACTTTATTTGATTTCATTGCGGTTTATATTACGAAGCACAAAGCGCATGAGTTGGCTCTTCCTTTCAAATAAGAGAATTAGAAGAACTTGCTTCTCTTTCAAGCATTTTGAAAGACTTACGAGAGCAATGGTTAACATAGCACTGCTGGTAGTTTGAAAATCTGCAGTGATATATGATATAAGTTTCTATTAATCTCAAGTGGAAAGATGTATGCATATGTACATACATATATAGATATTAGTTTACTGCATTACATGGCATATCTATGAAGTAATTAGCGGGGCATGGAATATAAAGCAATTAAGGAAGCAAAGCAACTTATAATGATCTGATGGTGGAAATTAAAACTAAATTTCAGAAATTATTCAGAAAGATGTGCTGAGTGACATACATTTTTCAAAAGAAAGCGTAAATACTGCTATTGTCCAATGGACAATACTGGTGCTGGCCTATGTCCATACGATCTTGCCGGCCTGTAATTAAACTAGTTTTTCTATGCTCGCCTTTCTATATATTAAGTTATATGCGAAAAAGTCACATAAAGTAATAAGTAAGTAATTTTTTTGGTTTAATTGACCAAAAAATAAAGGAAACATTTCCGGATGTCATCAACAGCTGTCGGTGATTGCAGTCCGTCCACAAGAGCGTGCCTTAAAACGAGTGGTATTGCTAAGAAAGATAAAGGACTCGTGAGCAGCATATGGGAGGTGCTATTACTTAATGGAAAGCCATGTGAGAATTAAGAAGAAGAACAACTTAAAAAATCACTAAAGGTTTCGAGAACAATGATTGCCGAATGCTTGTCATTCAGTGAAGAGCTAGGAGAACTTAAAAATCACTCAGAGCTTAGGAAGCAATGATTTATGAACGTGTATTACTCAGTGAAATCCGTTGCGAAAACGAAGAAGAAGAAAGAGACCACTGAGCAACGATCTCCGAAAGCTTAACGGGAGTGTTAAGAGTGACGAAATAGTGACTTTTCGATGCTCGACCGGGTAAAGCAAAAGTCTTCAAGGTGTACGGTTAATAATGGGAAATTGTGTTTACTCTATTCACGACAGTTTGTGTGCTTTGATGATGTTCATGCCTATATATAGGATGACACTCACCTTGTTTCAACGCAAGCATTACACATCAACCACATGACAGTTTGGAATCCTTCGAAAAGAGCGGGCTACAAGAAGTAGCTCACAACCGCGGAAAGACTTTTCAATATGAGACATGTTATAATTACTTCTTCAATTTCGCCATTGCCTTTTTTTGGATTCGGCGCATGTCCCGATGAAAAGTGATCTTCTTCTTCGCTACTTGTAGTTGCTTTGATATTTTTGAATAATGTTCTCCTGTCATCGTTTCACAAGTTTCAGGAAATCAATCAATGAATAGAATTTCTTTTGCGCTTCAAAAAATTAATGATTCGCATGGCTTTTTTTTGATGATTTTGACTGCTTCCGCTGTTTTAGAGCTAAGCAATCAAGTGCAGTCTCCCTGTTCTTTGTAACGGTTTTCAAGATTTTAGAAGCTTTATGCAAATTGTAAGGTAAAGTGAGCTCGTTTTCGAGTTTACATTGTCTCGACGTAGGCAACAGAAGATGTCAACAACGACAACAACACTTTATTACACATCACGCATGTGGCGAAATTTCTGAAAGATTTAAAATAATTTAGAATCTTACGACGCAAATGAAGTTGCATCGCTCGATAGTGAACGAAGAGTCTTTTTACAGTTGCGATAAATAGTTAGTCCGGTAATAGGTTTGACGAGAATGCATTTTCGTTGAACGAGTAAGAAAAATCGGTTTCTAAACTCCTTTAGGCTTATGCTGACAAGAGGAAAACCGGAAAATAGGTAACAAAATGTTGCGCTCACTACATTGCTTCCACATCTGCATTCTTATCTACCTCGTTATCAGCAATAAAAAAAAAATATTGAATAGATTTCGACAGGAGGTTAAATTGTTATATAGGTCACTCTATCGGGGAAGTTATCGTATTTTATTCCGTCAAATGAGCTAAGCGTTCTTAGTGAGAACTTATTTAAAACTGAGATGTTTTAGAGAATAGAATTGAATTTGGAAAACTTTCGCAAACGATCTCTAAACTTTAACTTTAGTATTTTTAGCTGCAATTTTCATTTATCATCAAACATTCCAGGGCAGCAGCAATTTTTGAAGAGCAATATTATTGCTAACCACTGTGCTCCTCCCTTCTATTTAATGGTGATAAAGTTTGCTTACTTACGTATAGTGAGTATAATGGGGTAGATATCCGTGATATATTTAACACTATTTAAACCATGTCGGTTGTGACGTCATAGCAATTTTAACTCTCATTTATTGTAATGGTAATGTTATCAGGACACGATGCGGCTCGTCAGCCTAGAAAAGAGCTACAAGTATATTTTGTAACAATGCGAGCTAATGGCAAAACAACGGCAGTGACGACCACTATAAAAGCGGTATACGGTGTCAAGTTAACAACCCATCACATCTTCTCCCACGATGCACGCATACAACCAAGCAAACGAGTTAAACAGCAACAGTTTCATATCGCACGAAATTGTAACGTGAGATAAATTTAGGTTTCAATTTACTCCCAAAGAGCATAATTTGGTCGCGGTCGGGTATTCTTAGTTTTCTTTTTTTTTAAAGTACGACAAAGAGAGAGAGACAGAAAGAGAGAACAAAGGACATGCTCCGGCATCTATATAAAAGCCCCTGTATCCTGTTAACCGTATTCAGTAGTTAAAACGTCTTTGCTGCTTAACATAGCAAAAGCAGTAGAGAGATCGCTCGGAGCAAATAAAAACTTTGAATTTCTCCAACTTAAGACAATAATTCAAATTTTCAATATTGTTTTTGTGGTTGTGTTAAGTGTTGGTGTTAAGTGATTTTATACGTACACAGGAAACATTTAATACCTCGGACTACAACAAAAAAAAAAAAAAAAGAAAAGAAAAAATGCATTCAATTAAACAAAATTTGCATCCAAGAGTACTTTTGAAATTCTGGTCTTTCCTGTGCTTGATTATAAATGTTGTAAGTGTGCATTTATATGTTGTATGTGTATCCGTGTGATATTTTTGCCTGTAATTCGTAGATAATTAAATTTTTTCTACAGAAGTCCGTAAATGTAGTGGAAAAGTTTTGATGCTAAACTCAGATCATTACAAAAAAGTTGGATGATGACAACTACATTGACTTGGGTAGACACGCTACGTTAAATTTGAGAAGATAACAACCTTTTAAATGCATCTCTCAATATTCACTTTTAGACGCTTTCTTTTTTCATTCATTTCACCATTTTTCAATTGTTAACTTACAAAATGTTTTTGGTAACACCAAGCTCACTAATTTTATCTGAACCATTTGAAAACAGGCGTTAGGAACTCATATGTCACTAACATATCCCTTTAAAGCAGAGAAAATTTGTCTGCCTATCCGTCCGTTCTTTCGTTTATTTGTTCCTCTGCTGCTTCATCCATTTGTTCGAGGGTTGTTCCGCGCCTTTATCTGTCCTTCACCCATCCCCCTAACAATCGGTTCGTCTATCCACCATCTTCCTAGCTAATCCCTTGTTTATCACTCCAGCTTCCTACCACTCCGCTTGCTCATTTTTCCGCCTGCTTACCAGTTTGCCTGTCTACCATACGATATTTCTGTTGCTCGACCGGGCTACCACGCCTGCTTACCACTCCGCTTTCTCCTTACTCCGCGTGACTACCAACCCGTCTGCCTACCATTACTCCTGCCTATCTCTCCGCCTGTTTATCACTTCATTTGCCTACGTCCCCGCTTGCCTACCACTCCGCCTATCTACCTTACCGTATGCTCGTCAGCTCTGCCTGACTACCACATCGCCTATCTAATAGTCCAGCTGCCTACTATTATGCCTGCCTACTATTCCCTCCGTTTATCGTTTCCCCTGCTTGCCAATCCGTTGGTCTACCAGTCCATCTGCTTACCCTTACTCCTGTCTACCACTCCGCCTGTTTACCACTCTGCCTGGCCACTTTTCCGTCTGCCTGTCTTACCGTATGTAAATTACGTCGCCAGTCTGCTAGTTCACCTGCCTGTCAGTTCGCCTGTTCTACAAGCCCGTCTGACAATAAAGCTGAGCCTGCTTTCTTTCCGTTTTCAAACTTTTTACCGTATAAAATTTAAAACAAATCACAGATAAACCAAGTATGGGGGTTTTACTTATTCAATGTGCGCATACTGTCGCTACTTTCCGTCAATGAAATTTGCGAGAATTGAAAAAGTTTTTAAAAACACATTTTTTTCGAAAGCACTAATTACGTTGACGTCGTGGTAGCACCGTCTGACACACATAATATTTTACTTAAAAAGTCAGTTATCGAAAATTGGTAACGACTTAAGCATTGAATTTTAATTCTCAACTACTGTTCAACTTAGTAGTACGTTTACTGATACTTGCGTAGTCGCGTGAGTTGAAAACTTTCTTTGTGAAAAGATATTTAATATAACACTTTTCAGTTTTTTACTAAACTCTCTCTTATGAAATATTATTGACTAAATTGAATTACATTATCTGCGTTATCATATTTTTCCAATTACACGTCAAAGATGCTAAACGTCTTTAATTTCGACCAAAATTATTAAGTTGTTGAAGAAGAGGACTTCTTGTGAAATTTCGTTTACATAAATTGAATTCTTTTGCTGGTTTTGCGTCATTTTATGCGCCATCTGGTAGCAAAGGAATTCAATTCTCTCGATTTGTACCCAAAATTAGCCGGTTAAGATGCTAGGATTGTGGTCCCGTCTCTTGTTGAGAAAGCTACCACCAAGTAATGGACAATGAATGCCTATTTTTCGGGATGTAAATAAATTTCATTCAAGTTCTCAATTGCAACAAAGCCATGGCATAAGATGCGAGTGAGTGTCGAAGCAGAATCGTTAGTTTGCTCGAAACAACTTAAACGGATTACAGATTTTTTTAAATACAACTTCTCGCTAAGTCGATGTTTCCTATTCCTGTAAGACGGTGACGACCAGCAAGAAGTAAGAGAATAAAAAGGAGATAGGAAAGCAGGTGCTATGCCCTTACTGACTAGATACTCGCTATAACTACGGTGACAAAGTAAAGTCTGCCGCAATGAGATTTGAACTCGTGAACTCTGAGTTAGTAGTCGCATAAATATAATAATAAGTCTGACGTGAGGATAGTGTCATTTTACTTCGTCACCCCCTTATTCGAAAGGGGACTTAAGCTTAAATCCAAAATACTTAACAAACGGATTGCCAATATAACTTGTTTCTGAGAATGACATGGAAACGAAAATACATCCTGCACCAAATGTGATACGAGGATATATTCCAGAAGGACTTGAAATATATCCGCCTTTTATTACACCGATCGGTTCAGGATCCCCTTTTGAATTCCTTTCTAGAACGATTTAAACTTGTCTAGCCATCTTGTTTTCTTTTGTTCAACTTTTTCGAGATAATTTGATGAAATGCTATTGAAAATGCTTCGGATCGGATCACTTTTTTGACCATTTCCCACATAACGGCTTATTCCGAAAACTCGTTACATGAATACCTTTCGAGCGATATAGGATATTTAGTTGTAGGCCATATCTTGCTATAGTGCTTTTACTTATTTTTAATTCAATTTCTTCTGTTTATGACAAGTAGAAGAGCAAGAAAACATAGATGAACGCATAATGAAATCCTTTATAGAATGCTCTTTGCTATTGTAATACTTTATATTGATTAATAATAAGATTTTAAAGTTTCTTTCTCTATTTATTTACTATGAATCAATATTGATTAAGCATTTGTTTGCCTTAAGCGAGCGCATCACACACACGCATTAAACGCATAGTGACATTATTCAAGGATAACATTAGCAAGGAAAACTGTTGTCAATACAGAAAATAAATGGAAGCTAATATAAAACGAGGCAACAGTGAAAGGCATATTAAAATGTCTTTCTACCATAAATGTAGGTTAAAAGTTACAATAAGTACTATAACGACGACGTAAAATACAATGATTAGCTGAAGACATTTTAAAGAAAATTTAATAACATTTTCATCCGTGCAATGGTGAAGGAAGGGATCGAGGTAATAACATACAAAGTTGTGGTGTTAAGTTAAATGATGAAAGAATTTTTTAATATCACTTTTCCCTTCACTTTCCCTTCACAATGTATTACATTCCGTATCCGTTATTTTTCAATTTTATTAAATACTTTGAAACAATCGTTACAATAATGCTATGTGTAGGTGTCACCTAAACATTTCGTATGCAGTACCTTGAAAGTAAGGTTTGAAAGAGATTAAGTTCTGTCAAATTATCTACTGCGGGCGAAAATTTTCATTAGGTAGATCACGCAGTTACATTAAGGTAATTGAAAGGGCGTCACGAGACTAATGGCGGGTTAAACGAAGCGAAATCATGTTAATTGAAGCTTTCGCGAATCGCTGCACCTGATGGAAAGATGATGTAGTGACATTAAATGCAAAAGGGTTTAAAAATTTTTTTTTCTAGTAAAAGGGTGCCCTAAACTTCATCGCGGGTGTTTCTTGAACGTCGTAAATTACTGGCATTTGCCTGATGTTTGTCCGTGTATCCACGCATGCCAGCTATATGTCTTGGCCGAAGGCTTTCTCCATACAAAGCTTTCTCTTCCAAAAACCGTTAAATATATAAAAACTTTGTAATACTGCTCGGGAAAACTAGGTGGAAAGCAGTGTTTTGTTGTATTAAATAAATATATTGTCCATGTGGATGGTATGAATACTGTCTCATATAAATGCTTTTATAAATAATAAGTCCTTATATAGCAGCTAAGAAAATTATATGCGGTTGTGAGTGAATCTTTTATACCCATCACTGTTATTGTAAACAGGATTCAAAAAAAGCGGGAAAAGATTAATTTACAGCGTGTGTCTGAAGCAGACATATCTGGATATGCGGCTCTGACTACGTTCAGCGCAGCAAATAGCAGACAGGTGGATAGACGGACCGACAAACAGAGCGGTTCAAATTTGATACCGCTCAATAATGTGTAGATTTTTTTTATTGTCTCGGAAGCCTCCAAAGAATAAATATTTAATGTTCTATAATGTTAATTAAGTTATGCGTGCCCGGTTTCTCCACTTTCATGCAGTTTCTTCAGGATCGCCCAAAGACTATGAATGCAAATTCTTATTATTGTATCGGTTGTGGTTTATAGGTGACGAATAAAACACTAATTTTCTTTTTCTTTGAGTGAAGAGGTAGCGGTCTACTGCCCGCGTATTCTTTGATCGATTTGACCGAATTTCTGTACCAGTTTGCCTGTAAGAACTTGTAATGTTTCTGCAAAATTTGAGCCAGATAGCTTTCTTTTTGCGACCAGGGGACAGATAGACAGATAGACAGATAGACAGACACAAGGACGGATATGCTTAAATTAGTTTATAAGACATTGATCAAGAACATACATACTTTCCTTGAAGTTTCCTTCTTGATGTTGCAAACAACAACGACAAAATAAATATACCTCTAATCCTTAGACGGTAGATATAATAGAATGTTCAGAATTTTACATTGGAAAGTATAGTTCACAAATAGTAACTTGGTCCATATGAATTCACGTATCTATCTTGGACTACATAGATCTATTTTGCGAAACTTTTCTCATATAAGACTTGTCATGCAAAGCAACTTTTTGCAGTGTGAGTTAAAATTTTTGATAGTTTAAGATGAAATTAACTGAAGATTTATGTTAACTACAGGAGAGTTTAGATGACGCAAATCTAAGTAAATTTCATGGTAGCACGCTATCCATCCGAGCCGTCACCCAGTTTGTTACAAACCAATAAAATGGAAAATTTAAACTTGATTCATATAAATTTAAATTATTTTTAGTTATGGACGGACAATACCTATTATGTTGATAACATAAAAAAAGTTCAAAAGAATTCAAAAGAGACTCACAAGTATAAGTATGAGCTACCAATCAAACTGAAGGGGAGAAGTTCTGTAAGTTATTCGATCATAAAAGTATGAGGTCGAAATTACTCGAA